GGTTGTGTTTTGCTTGGTGTTAATTGTTGGTTGATGTTGGAAACACTTGGTTGATTTTGTAGGCGGTGTTGGTGGTGAAAAACAATTAGTTAAATTGTGCACACAAAGTGTATGATGAAATGGCTAAGAAGAGACAACACACACCAACTCCCGAAACTTCTCCATCTCATGAGGACTCTCACTCTCACGAGGATACGGAAAGTGAAAACGAACAAGTGATCAATGTTATTGAGCCCGAGACCGATAAAGAGGGAGATGAGCCGTTGTATAAAATTGACCCCGATCGGGAAAATGTTCAAAAAGAGTATGGATGCCCGTTTCCCGTATTCAATCCGGATGAAGGCTTGCACTTTCAAAATCTTGACCAATCATTTATCACCGAACCTCTAAAAATTGATTGGGAACTTTTGGGGAAGATCGTGATTGCCAATAAAGTGAAAGAGTACTTCATCAACCTCAATCTCTTGCAATACGCGGAAATGCAATATCCGGCGTACCACCCCATAACGCTGGAATTTATTAGCACAATAAAAATTGAAGATAATGGCTGACTTCTTACATGCAGGATGATGGGGGAAGAATGCAAGGTGACACCTAAGGTGATGAAAGATGTTTTCGGGTTCACGTCGGTGGGCACTAAGAAAAAGCCCAAGGATTACCTCAAGAGGGCTGCAATGGATTGGAAGGTGATTTCCGGGAGTGACAAATTCAAATCAAACGGAGCTCCTTTCTTTCTTGTAAAGGATGTTGCATTAGGCTTTGTGGGAAAGTTCGTTGCTTATCAAGTTTCGGAGAAGGATCAAGCCAATAGGTTGAACCAAAATGAATTTTTCATAATGAAGTGCGCCTTGGATAAGAAGAAAATCAATGCCACCGAATTTATTTGGACAAGCTTGGCCGATATCCTAGCGCATGAATAGTTCCCTCCGTCGTTTGGGACATTTGTCACGGCTTTGGCAATGCACTTTAAAATTTTGACTCCGGCGCGCCTCAAGTTACAAGCGGTCACACGGGCGAAGATTATTGACAAGGAAGAGTTGACTCGTTGTGAATTCATTGATAAGAATTTTGTCGTTATTCGTCACAAGAAGAGGACCAAAGTAGGACGTTTCTTTAAAGAAAATATTAGAAAAGGGAACTCTATGGATGCCCAACAAATTGGCGTGACCGAAGAGGACGCTCAAGCCCATGGCGAGGACATACATTTCATACAACCAGAATTGATGGAATGAATTTTCAATGAGTTTGTTGGCTTGCGGAATCAATTGACATCATTTGAGGGATATGTGCAAGCACGATTAGATGCAATTGATGCTCGATTGGATTCATTGGCCACTGGTCGGTCCACGAGAATCGACGTTGCATCTTCACCCATTCATCCACAATTGTAGCATGTCACCTGTTAGGCATACCTCTTTCCAAACATCTACATCTAATTTTGAATTTTAATTTATGCAAATGACTTGGATAATGTTTTGGTTATCATTTGTCGGTATTTAATGTCTTGTACCCAGCATATGACTCTTGATTTTGCCCTTTCATGGAAGCCTATTGATGTAAGATGGATTTAATGTCTTTGTTACCATTTGTTGGTATTTAATGTCTTGTTTTAAATTAGTTTTCTTCATAACATCCAGTCATTTTTAAATGACAAGAATCACTATGTTTGAGCATGTCCACAAAAACCGATGCATCAATGAACACCACAAGAACCAACACAAAGACTAAATCAACATATATCTTTCAATAAAAATTCTTAAGACCACCAAAATAAGTTTCATGAATTTAATACAAATTGCACACACACACACACACATAAATAAAAATGAACTAGGTAATGTTTTGAGGACATTTGTTCCTACAGTGGCCAAGTTGCTTATATTTACCACACAAACGAATTTTGTTACCAGGTCGTTCAGATTGAGTTGGTTGCTCAACATTATCGAGAATCAACACAAGTTGTAGAGTAATGCCCCATTTTGCCGCACCGTGAACAAAATGAATTTCTTCGAGAGCTCGAAGAAGGGCCAGTAGAAGGTATGCGGTTTAACCTCGGTCTTCCAGCTTTCTTGGGATTAATAGGGGCTTTGACAACCATCAAACTTGTCAATGTAGTTAAGTCCCAAGTCGTTGGATGCGCAATTGGCATGATTGTGGGCTCGTAAAGTTTGCGCAATGTTGTTGTCTTGTAGTACTCGTGCACATATCCATACACCGATTTATTTGCTTTCCTACGCATATGAGAAACAATAAGTGGAACACAATGTAACATTTTCTTATGGGTACGATAAAAATAAAAGTAAAATTTACAGCTTTTATTAAAATAAAAAAATACCCGATAGCCTTAATCGCATGTGAACAAGACAATAAATCGACCTGAAAGAGAAAACAAGTGCAAGTTCGATTCTTCAAATTGACAACAAAATTCTTGACCCCATCCTTGATGTGATAATCATAGTGATTAATATTTGAAGCTTCTATTTTGTCGGCTGCATTTTTATAATCCATCAAACACTTAGATATTGAAGGAGGAACTTCACATTCAGTGATTTCTGCTTCGACACGCCTTTTCTGAAACCATTGTTGCATCATGTTTTGAATACATTCAAACAAAGAGCAAACCGGCAATTTCCTTGCCCAACACAGCCTATTGTTTAGCACCTCACAAGCATTTGACGTCATGAAACTATAACGTCTAACAAGACATTGACTTCGTGTCCACCTACTTGGAATGACATCCATCAAATCATTCCATGTTTTGTCATGATTTGCAGCAAGTATAGCCATTGACTTTTCGTACACAACAGGGGAATAACTATATGAAGCTTGCATATATAAACCAACGGCTTTACTACCATGACTTCGAAAATTTTGTCGTAGGTGGTACGAACATACGG